TACCCCGATGACGTTGGTGAGCCTTTAGCTGCGTGTACTGATCCTTCTGCTTCCTCAAGAACACACGAACCACATATTGGTGACCATGACGAGCAAGATGCCGTTCCGTTATCTCGAAGAAGAGATCACCAGTGCATCCGAGGACGGTGCACAGTCAGGAGAGGCCGTATAAGTATTGTATGTAAGTATTTTAATTGTATTTTTTTTTTAATTAATGATTTCTTTTTTATTATTTTTTTTGTAAAACTTACGTTTACGTTAATTGTCACATATTTTATATGTAAGATTTCGTAAAATAATTAGTAGATTTTCAATCAGGCGCAGTCCCTGACACAGCCTAAGTGCTGGAGCTCTTTTGAGAGTGTTACGGGTGCTGACCTAAAAAAAACACAAATCAGGCGCAGTCCCTGACACAGCCTTAGTAGTGCTGGAGCTCTTTTGAGAGTGTTACGGTTGCTGACCTGAAAGAACACAAATCAGGCGCAATCCCTGACACAGCCTATGTGCTGGAGCTCTTTTGAAAGTGTTACGGGTGCTGACCTGAAAGAACACAAATAAGGCGCAGTCCCTGACACAGCCTTAGTGCTGGAGCTCTTTTGAGAGTGTTACGGGTGCTGACCTGAAAGAACACAAATCAGGCGCAGACCCAGACACAGCCTTAGTGCTGGAGCTCTTTTGAGAGTGTTACGGGTGCTGACCTGAAAGAACACATATCAGGCGCAGTCCTGACAGCCTAAGTGCTGGTGCTCTTTTATGAGTATAACGGGCGCTGTCCCGAATGATGTGTTCTTTGAACACATATCAGGCATAGTCCTGACAGCCTTAGTGCTGGTGCTCTTTTATGAGTATAACGGGCGCTGTCCCGAAAGATGTGTTTTTTTAACACATATCAGGCGCAGTCCTGACAGCCTTAGTGCTGGTGCTCTTTTATGAGTATAACGGGCGCTGTCCCGAAAGATGTGTTTTTTAACACATATCAGGCGCAGTCCTGACAGCCTTAGTGCTGGTGCTCTTTTATGAGTATAACGGGCGCTGTCCCGAAAGATGTGTTTTTTTAACACATATCAGGCGCAGTCCTGACAGCCATAGTGCTGGTGCTCTTTTATGAGTATAACGGGCGCTGTCCCGAAAGATGTGTTTTTTGAACACATATCAGGCATAGTGCTGACAGCCTTAGTGCTGGTGCTCGTCTTTAGGACAACATACTTAAATTTATCCCAAAATTTTATTTATAAATTTAACTCACTGTTTATGATAATTTTTTGAACACATATCAGGCGCAGTCCTGACAGCCTTAGTGCTGGTGCTCTTTTATGAGTTTAACGGGCGCTGTCCCGAATCATTTGTTTTTTGAACACATATCAGGCGCAGTCCTGACAGCCTTAGTGCTGGTGCTCTTTTATGAGTATAACGGGCGCTGTCCCGGAAGATGTGTTTTTTGAACACATATCAGGCGCAGTCCTGACAGCCTTAGTGCTGGTGCTCTTTTATGAGTATTACGGGCGCTGTCCCGGAAGATGTGTTTTTTGAACACATATCAGGCGCAGTCCTGACAGCCTTAGTGCTGGTGCTCTTTTATGAGTATTACGGGCGCTGTCCCGAATGATGTGTTCTTTAAACGCATATCAGGCATAGTCCTGACAGCCTTAGTGCTGGTGCTCTTTTATGAGTATAACGGGCGCTGTCCTGAAAGATGTGTTTTTTTAACACAAATTAGGAGCAGTTCCTGACACAGCCTTAGTGCTGGAGCTCTTTTGAGAGTGTTATGGGTGCTGACCTGAAAGGACACAAATCAGGCGCAGTCCTGACAGCCTAAGTGCTGGTGCTCTTTTATGAGTATAACGGGCGCTGTCCCGAATGATGTGTTCTTTGAACACATATCAGGCATAGTCCTGACAGCCTTAGTGCTGGTGCTCTTTTATGAGTATAACGGGCGCTGTCCCGAAAGATGTGTTTTTTTAACACATATCAGGCGCAGTCCTGACAGCCTTAGTGCTGGTGCTCTTTTATGAGTATAACGGGCGCTGTCCCGAAAGATGTGTTTTTTAACACATATCAGGCGCAGTCCTGACAGCCTTAGTGCTGGTGCTCTTTTATGAGTATAACGGGCGCTGTCCCGAAAGATGTGTTTTTTGAACACATATCAGGCATAGTGCTGACAGCCTTAGTGCTGGTGCTCGTCTTTAGGACAACATACTTAAATTTATCCCAAAATTTTATTTATAAATTTAACTCACTGTTTATGATAATTTTTTGAACACATATCAGGCGCAGTCCTGACAGCCTTAGTGCTGGTGCTCTTTTATGAGTTTAACGGGCGCTGTCCCGAATCATTTGTTTTTTGAACACATATCAGGCGCAGTCCTGACAGCCTTAGTGCTGGTGCTCTTTTATGAGTATAACGGGCGCTGTCCCGGAAGATGTGTTTTTTGAACACATATCAGGCGCAGTCCTGACAGCCTTAGTGCTGGTGCTCTTTTATGAGTATTACGGGCGCTGTCCCGGAAGATGTGTTTTTTGAACACATATCAGGCGCAGTCCTGACAGCCTTAGTGCTGGTGCTCTTTTATGAGTATTACGGGCGCTGTCCCGAATGATGTGTTCTTTAAACGCATATCAGGCGCAGTACTGACAGCCTTAGTGCTTGTGCTCTTTTATGAGTATAACGGGCGCTGTCCCGAATCATGTGTTCTTTGAACACATATCAAGCATAGTCCTGACAGCCTTAGTGCTGGTGCTCTTTTATGAGTATAAAGGGCGCTGTCCCGAATCATGTGTTTTTTTAACACATATCAGGCGCAGTCCTGACAGCCTAAGTCCTGGTGCTCTTTTATGAGTATAACGGACGCTGTCCCGAATGATTTGTTCTTTGAACACATATCAGGCGCAGTCCTGACAGCCTTAGTGCTGGTGCTCTTATATGAGTATTACGGGCGCTGTCCCGAAAGATGTGTTTTTTGAACACATATCAGGCGCAGTCCTGACAGCCTTAGTGCTGGTGCTCTTTTATGAGTATTACGGGCGCTGTCCCGAATGATGTGTTCTTTGAACACATATCAGGCATAGTCCTGACAGCCTTAGTGCTGGTGCTCTTTTATGAGTATAACGGGCGCTGTCCCGAAAGATGTGTTTTTTGAACACATATCAGGCATAGTGCTGACAGCCTTAGTGCTGGTGCTCGTCTTTAGGACAACATACTTAAATTTATCCCAAAATTTTATTTATAAATTTAACTCACTGTTTATGATAATTTTTTGAACACATATCAGGCGCAGTCCTGACAGCCTTAGTGCTGGTGCTCTTTTATGAGTTTAACGGGCGCTGTCCCGAATCATTTGTTTTTTGAACACATATCAGGCGCAGTCCTGACAGCCTTAGTGCTGGTGCTCTTTTATGAGTATTACGGGCGCTGTCCCGAATGATGTGTTCTTTAAACGCATATCAGGCGCAGTCCTGACAGCCTTAGTGCTTGTGCTCTTTTATGAGTATAACGGGCGCTGTCCCGAATCATGTGTTCTTTGAACACATATCAAGCATAGTCCTGACAGCCTTAGTGCTGGTGCTCTTTTATGAGTCTAAAGGGCGCTGTCCCGAATCATGTGTTTTTTTAACACATATCAGGCGCAGTCCTGACAGCCTTAGTGCTGGTGCTCTTTTATGAGTATTACGGGCGCTGTCCCGAATGATGTGTTCTTTAAACGCATATCAGGCGCAGTCCTGACAGCCTTAGTGCTGGTGCTCTTATATGAGTATTACGGGCGCTGTCCCGAAAGATGTGTTTTTTGAACACATATCAGGCGCAGTCCTGACAGCCTTAGTGCTGGTGCTCTTTTATGAGTATTACGGGCGCTGTCCCGAATCATTTGTTTTTTGAACACATATCAGGCGCAGTCCTGACAGCCTTAGTGCTGGTGCTCTTTTATGAGTATAACGGGCACTGTCCCGGAAGATGTGTTTTTTGAACACATATCAGGCGCAGTCCTGACAGCCTTAGTGCTGGTGCTCTTTTATGAGTATTACGGGCGCTGTCCCGGAAGATGTGTTTTTTGAACACATATCAGGCGCAGTCCTGACAGCCTTAGTGCTGGTGCTCTTTTATGAGTATTACGGGCGCTGTCCCGAAAGATGTGTTTTTTGAACACATATCAGGCGCAGTCCTGACAGCCTTAGTGCTGGTGCTCTTTTATGAGTATTACGGGCGCTGTCCCGAATGATGTGTTCTTTGAACACATATCAGGCATAGTCCTGACAGCCTTAGTGCTGGTGCTCTTTTATGAGTATAACGGGCGCTGTCCCGAAAGATGTGTTTTTTGAACACATATCAGGCATAGTGCTGACAGCCTTAGTGCTGGTGCTCGTCTTTAGGACAACATACTTAAATTTATCCCAAAATTTTATTTATAAATTTAACTCACTGTTTATGATAATAATATAAATAAATAAAATATTCTGCGTTTACTGCACAAGACGTTATGCGACAGAATTGTCATCTAAAGTTCTAATATGTAACTACTACACGAATACATCAACCATAACGTGTAATTTTTCTTGATCTCCCTTAGGTACTCTCTCTCTCAATCTTTCTCACTATAGCTCTCTCCCACCTCTCACTCCATGGCTATTTGCTTCATACTACGTTCGCCTTTTCTCACTCTCTCTCAATTCTTCCACAAAAACATCTTCGTGACGCTAATATTTTTATTATTGTAATTAATAGGTAAAAAATTTACCCTCATGCGCCTTAAGAAGTTTCACTTCAGTACACGTTAATGTGATATTAAAACAACTTTTTGACATACATATTATAGTTTATTTAAGAACCGAATAATACATCTTTTGCTAGGAAGAATATTACAATTGAACTATTAAACTTAACTCTTATTTTAAATTAAAGTTAAAAGGTACAATGAGAAATTAAAATTATAATTTTTTTTTTCTTAATATTATGGCAATAACTTTATGCCAGTTTAAAGTAAAAATTTAAAATTTTTTTTGGTAATTTAATTTGCCTTACAATTTACAAACTCATTGTCTACTTCCACTACTTCATAATCAGTGTGCATATTATAGTCTGTGGAATTTTCATGATTTAATAAATAAGAATAATGAAACATTAAGCTGCAACATTTGCATTTTTCACCCTTACTAGAATCTCCTAAGCACTTTAAATAATGTTCAGATGTTTTCTTCGCATTTGTAAAGTGTAAATTGCAATTACCACATTTAAATATCTTTCGCTTTTTATAAGAACCAAAAACGTCGACAACATATGCGGTTTTAATATCTTTTTTGTGGTGGGTTTTGAGGTGATCAAACAAGACATTTGGAGAGAAAGGGATTCCACATTTTGTACAATATTGTTTTATTACCCTTCCAGGACTTTTTTTTACATGTTCTTTTGCTTGACTTTTGCTCATATAATGTAAATTACATTTAGCACATCTGTATAGGACAATTTGGCCATCGGTATTTACTATATCTTGTTCCATAATTTTAACCACATTAGTCTTTGAAGATGTTGAAGGTTGTTCGGCTTTTGAAGATTCTATACTCTCTTTTGGATTGAAAACAAAAGTATTTATATTATCTTTTATAAATTCTGGATCTTCTGTATGTAGTTTCATGTGCCCTTTCAATTTCCCTTGCTCAAAGTAAAGATCACAAAGATTACAGCTAGCTTTAGCGGCATCAACTAAACAGAAATGTGGGGAAATACATCTTGCATAACGAATACATATGAAACATTTACTACACTTATAAAAAGAGTAATCACAAACAATACCCATAAATGTAGATACAAGTGAGCTTTTATTAAATCCTGGAATTAAATCACCTAGAAGTACTACTTTCATATTGTTCCCAGTAAAACTATTTAAATTCTTATGTTTTAAAAGGTGATATTCATAATCACTGCTATATATTAGCAATCCACAATTATTGCACTTTTGAAGATCTTTTACATTACAAACATGTGTTAAAAATTCAGCCTTGTTAACAAGACCTTCACAATTTCTGCATCTATAGACTACATAATATGGTCTAGAAGAATTTAATTTAATTAATTCATTAATTTGTTTATCATTGTCCTGATTAAAAGAAACTATTCTCATATTTTTCATGTTAAATGAATTTTTGTGCATTTGTAAATGTTGAGATAAGGCAATTTGAGTTACAAAAATGTTTTTGCATACACCACATGAATAGCTTTTAAGATTGTGACCACCACATCCTTCCACATGACTAAAAAGTGTGGAACTTTCTATGAAACATTGACATTTCAGACATTTATATTCTGTATATTCGGGATTACCCTCTTGAGATATTTCTAGTTTTATTCTACTCTCAAATCTATAAATAGAATGGGACAGTTTTTTGGTAATTTCTTCCAGTGATAATCCATTAAATAGATGCTTCAACCAAATATCATCCTTAGCACCATAATAATATGGTTCAAAATAGTACACCTTCCTGCCATCTATAGAATCTTTTGAATTAACATCCTGTTCCCGATGTTCTATGTTTGTTTTTGGATCCCTATTATTTAATATATGAAATTGACAATGTTCTATAACCTTATCATACGAAAAAATTTGCCTAAAACATAATTTACAGAAATATAAATCATTCTCAACTATGTTTTTAGCATTGTCTTTAAATTCTACTGGACTGTCGACATTATCCTTTTGAATATTATTTAAAGAATAGGTTTCCTTGTTAGTTAGTTTTTCAATATTATTTTCATTTAGTTCATATTCGTGAAATGGTAAATGTAATTTGTGCACAATTTCTGAAAACTTCATGTTGCATATTGAACATATAAAATCTTCCTCTTCTCCACATACGTGACTTTTTAAGGTAAATTTGTTAATAAAATGTTTAAAGCATCCTTCACATTTTGGAAAATCAGGCATAGGTGGGGTAATTTTTTTACCAGTTTTCAAATCATAAAATAGAAAGTCTTGTAACATTATGGATGGATTTTTATAATGTATACTTCTATGAGCCATAATTCCCTTATTTGTGAAAGTTAAGCCACAATATCTACAAGCATATTTTGTTGAATTTGCACATAATGATTGGAGATGAATTTTATGTATATTTGTAACAAAGCATTTGCAAGTGTTACAATAATATAACATTAAATTACTGATATGTAAATTATTTTTAAGCGAATCTATTTTTACTAATTCTGGCTTACTAATAGATTTTACTATTAGTTTTATAATGCAAAAATCTGTATTATTCATTAAACATGCATTATGAATATCTCTATGGACAATTTTTAATCTTTGATCTATGAAAATATCACAAATGTCACAATACTCTGATGGTGGAGTGTAAGAATTACATTTTGTATAGTGCTGCATAAATTGTTGTTCTTCATAATGTATGTTGCAATTTGAACAAGAATATAAGATTTTAGAGAATGTTTTTTCGTTTATCTCAATAGTTGTAAAAGATTTTGAATATGTGTGTTGACTTAGATGATATTTGCCTTCATTTCTCTTAAAAGTAAACTGACATTCTGTGCACTTCCAATGATATCTATATTCACTATGTTTTGTGTGATTCAGTGCCAAACTTGGGGATATGAAGCATATGTCACATTTACTGCAATTAAATACAACATCTTTTATTACAAATATATTCAATGTTTCCTTTTTAGTACCTTTCTTTGTGTATACTCTTTTCCTTTTTAAGTTTAATTTTTGTTTTTTTCTTAATGATATTAGTTGATGATTATGTATGTGACGATTATAAAACCTGGCATTGCTGCAATGCTGTGTACACAACTCACATTTTGTATTAAATGGTACCTTTTTAGTTGGAAAATCCTGAATACAATGTTTAATTTCCATGTGCTTGACAAAGAAGTCTTTGTTTTTGAAATAGTGATAACACTTGGGACATTTAAAAAACAACTGTGTTTCATTATTATTGACATTTCTCTCTAGACTTTGTCTTTCAGCACTTGAATCTTTATCCACATTGTTTTGAATGTTCCAAGTACCAGACTTATTTTTCTTATTTACTATACAATTAGACTCTATTGATTTAGCATTAAGCTGTGAATTAGCTTGTTTATTAAGTTTAGGCTCAAGTACCGCATACAAATGCTCAATAAGTAGTTGCTTGGATTCAAATTTTTTAGGACAATGAAAGCATGTTATATTTGGAACAAGATTTTTGTCTTTAATAGAGTGTTGCGTAATATGCAACTGGGCATTTTTAGCCAACTTAGAGGTTTTTCTTTTCTGAATAACATTTATTTTATGTACATTCCTTAGATGTCTAGTTAAATTACCCTTTTGATAAAAGTTATTACCACATTTATTACAGATATATTGTTCATCATGGATAATCCTTCTATGCTCGGTTAAAGAAACATTGTTTGGAAAAAGAATTGAGCATACTTTGCAAAATTTATTGGAGTTTAATACTGGTTGTAAATCTGATAAAATAATTTTTACCTGCTTTGTTATATTATGTTTCATAGAACTATATGTAGTTTTGGATGACTTTGGTTCTGAGCCAATGACTATTTTGTTTTTTAAAATGCATGTTTTTTCTTGTAATGCACGTTTTTTCTTTCCAGCCCTTTGTTGATTTTCATCAAAATGCTGAGAGTGAGCTAGTTCTAATTGATATTCACGTTTCAGGGTTGTTCTGTCATTTGGTATATTAGTAACTGAAAATTAAAATTTTAATTTGTAGTTACTATTACTACTAGCAATAATTACTACAGTCTGCTCATAATACCTAATATAATAACTACCATTATTAATTTAGTTTTTATGTAAAACGATGTGTTAAAGATATTTAACTAACAATCTAACTAAATTTATTACCTTCAACATCTTCATCATAAATCTCCTGTTTAAGCGCAGTTATATCCGGGAAAAGAACACGTAACTCAGGATTTTCAAACAAATTATGTTCTTCAATATCAATATCTGAATCCATCCTTAATATTTCCTTATGCTTACAGAAAAATGTTTTGTTTACTGTAATTCGAAATAAAAACCCATATTTAATTTTAGTATATTACTCTGTTATATAAAATAATAAATATACAACATTAAGAATATTTACTTCCTAAGTCCTAACTAAAAAATGAATAATATTGTTTTAGAGTTGTAGGTTTGTAACTTGTAAATCTGAAACAGATGGAGCGTGATCTAAATTCTAATGTCAGTTGTCACGCATGTCGGGTCGGACCGTCGCGTCGGACAGGTCTGAGAGTGACTACTGACTTTGTCTGAGACCTGAGTTGTCTCAAAAGTCAACTGTCAAGACTCAAAAGTTTTTTTTTTGAGTTTATACCTAGACTCAAGAGATGGTAACCGTAACCACAGAATATAGACCAAATCTATTTAAGACAATAGTGACCCACGAACGCCAAACACATCTGTATGAAGATGGTCACGTGACAAAACGTGAGATAATGTCATTCTCATACAAATTCCTTTGCCGGCAGAGGGTCACGCTTGACGCAAAGTGACTTTGTTTCAAGCCTCACAACAAACTATTTGATGGTGATGTGTATGTTAACGTAAAATTGTAAATACCGTTAGATTGTAATCTATCTCGCGAGATTATAAGCTGTCGAAAGATTGTGAACTCAACGTACTGCTTACAATTTAACGTATTATTATTCGGTAGATTATAATCTATCGAAGTGATTGAGTTTACAATTTTTCGACAGTTTACAATCTCGCGAGATAGATTACAATCTAACGGTTTTTACAATTTTACGTTGACATAACTAACGAATTATGGTAATAGAGTAATCGTATCATATGATCTTTATAAATTTATTATTTAAATTATTATTTAAATTAATAATAAATAATATATAATAAAAATAATATATAATAAATAAAAAGGGTGTATATACTTATGTACGCGCGTAAGAAGTTATACTTCTTTGGCTTTCTTTATTTTTTTTAAATAATTAATAATAAATATTTAACGTAAATAATTTAATAATATTTAATATTTAGTTTATTATTCAATTATTAAATAATAATTAATATTAATAATAATAATTATTATAATTATTATTTAAATTAATAATAAATAATATATAATAAAAATAATATATAATAAATAAAAAGGGTGTATATACTTATATACGCGCGTAAGAAGTTATACTTCTTTGGCTTTCTTTATTTTTTTAATAATTAATAATAAATATTTAACGTAAATAATTTAATAATATTTAATATTTAGTTTATTATTCAATTATTAAATAATAATTAATATTAATAATAATTATTATTATTTATTATTTTATTATATTATTCATTCCATTGATTAATAATAAATAATAAATAATAAATAATAAATAATAAATAATAAACGATAAACGATAAACGATAAACGATAAACGATAAACGATAAACGATAAACGATAAACGATAAACGATAAACGATAAACGATAAACGATAAACGATAAACGATAAACGATAAACGATAAACGATAAACGATAAACGATAAACGATAAACGATAAACGATAAACGATAAACGATAAACGATAAACGATAAACGATAAACGATAAACGATAAACGATAAACGATAAACGATAAACGATAAACGATAAACGATAAACGATAAACGATAAAGTTAATTTAGAGTTCCCTAATACTCTTAATAAATGGTATTTCGTAGATTTAACTGCTGCCTCCCAAATCCCACCAAAATGTGGTGAATAAGCAGGTATGAAATGAAAATTTACGCCATCATTGATGAGAACAGTGGCAAGAGAGTCAGAGTTACGCATTAAGAAATTAGCTAAATCTTTACAAGCCCCAACAAATGTAGTACCATTATCTGAATATAAGTGCAATGGTTTACCCCGACGAGCAATGAATCGACGAAAAGTAGAAATAAAACTGTTACTTGTCAAATCACCCACTAATTCCAGATGTAATGCTTTAGTCGTAAAACATACAAATATAACTATATAAACTTTGACAATACGAGAGCCTCGACCTTGACGAGTAACAGAAGCAATAGGACCTGCATAGTCCACGCCAACAGACTCAAAAGGATAGTTACCGGGAGTTACTCGACGCTGGGGTAAATTACCCATAATAGGAGCTTCAATCTTTCCTTTCATGCGTGTACACCTGATACATCGTCTATAAGTAGTCTTTGCTAAATTTCTACCACCGATAGGCCAATACACTTCTCTTATTGAGGATAACAATAACTGTGGCCCAGCATGCATAAGTTTCAAATGTTCATGTTGAAATATTAATTGTGTTAATCTATGTGTGGACATTAATAGTAAAGGATGTTTTTTATCATATGAAAATTGTGAGTTACTAATACGACCGCCAATACGCATTAAATTATTTTGATCTAAAAATACATTAAATTTCAACAAAGCACTTTTAACTGGTAATTCTTTCTTTTGTAAAAGAATATCATATTCTGGAAAAGATTCTCTCTGAGCAGAACGAATAATAACGTTAAGTGAATTACTTAATTCTGTTTCAGTAAGGTAATTAGTTACAGCGCGTCGACCCTTACACGATTCAATAAACCTAAATAGATAAGCTATAGCACGTCTTAGTCTGTTAAAATTTGAAAAGCGTTCAAATTGAATGAATTCTATAGGATGAGCAATGTTAAGTAAACATACCTCATTACGCATTTCTGGCAACGGTTCACATTGTACTAAAATGGAAGGCCAATCAGTATAAGACTTCTGTAAAAAGTTTGGTCCTGACCACCATAATATGTTTAGTGATTCAATATCATCAGCACATAATCAGCTGGGTTTTGAGCGGTAGGAACATGACGCCATTCACAATCACCGGTTATTTCTAAAATGTCTCCGACGCGATTCCTTAAAAACGTATTTAATTTACTTGGCAACATCTGAAGCCAACCTAATACAATGGAAGAGTCAGTCCAGAAAAATGTATTCGTAACTTTAATTCTTAACGAACTACAAACCTTTTTATATAGTTTTGCAGCCACTTGAGCTCCGCAAAGCTCGAGCCGTGGAATTGTAGTTGGTTTAATCGGTGCTACCCTACTTTTAGCTGTTAATAAACGTACTAATACATTACCGTTACGATCACTACTACGTATGTATAAACAGGCACCGTATGCCCTTTCAGAGGCGTCCGAAAACACGTAAATTTCTAATTGTTCATACGAGTTAATCATTACATGACGTGATACCCGTAAATTATTTAACACATTTAAATTTTTAGTAGCATCCATCCAGAGTGCTTGGATGTGCGAAGGAAGAGGTTCATCCCATGATAGACTTTGCAACCATAAACTTTGTAATATAATCTTAAATTTAATGACAACAGGAGAGAGAAGACCTAAAGGATCAAATATTTGTGAGATCACTGAAAGCAAACTACGTTTTGTGTTAGCCGCAGTAGAAAACCCAATTGGGAAATAAAGATCATCACAAACAGGTAACCAACCTAAACCTAAGGTCTTACTTGGCTCATTCCCCCCAACATTAAGATTATGCGAGGCTTCTGTTGCAGACTCTGAAATTAATTGAGACTCATTAGACTTCGTAGGAATAAACCAGCTGAGCCCAGTGTAGTTATTACTTTTTCGCGAATATTCCTCACTACATCCAGATCATCCCCCCCCACTCAACAAATCATCGACGAGAAAATCATGGAGAATGACTTCTGCTATCTGGTGGTCTTGACATTCGAGTCCCAACTGTTTCAGACATCTTGTAGCGAGAAATGGTGCACTCGCGGTACCATATGTTACAGTATTTAATTGGAAAGCTCTAAGGGTTTGAGATGGGTTGTCACGCCATAATATATGCTGCAGGTATCTATCATCAGGATGAACAAGTATTTTTCGGTACATTTTCTCTAAGTCAGCGACGATAACATACTTATGTTGTCTGAACCTTAAAAGAATAGACAAAAGATCGTCTTGTACCATCGGACCTACCATTTGAATATCATTCAAACTAATATTATTTGAAGTAAGTGAGCTCGCATTAAAAACTGCTCTTAACTTAGTGGTGGTACTGCTTTCGCGCAATACCCCGTGATGTGGGATAAAATATGCATTTTTATTCGAATTAAACCCACATTCTGTCATATGACCCAACGATTCGTATTCAGTCATGAAATCGCGATACATATCATAAAGTTTTGGGTTTCTCCGAAGTCTACGTTCTAAAGAGTAAAAACATTGTTTAGCTCGCTGAAATGAATCACCTAAGATAGTAGGACTTTCTTTTAGTGGAATTCTAACGCAAAAATGACCGTCTGACAAGCGAGTAGTATTTTCCACAAAATGTTCTTCACATGACTTTTGTTCTGATGAGTAACTAGAACAAATTGAACTATTTATTTCTTCTAAATGCCAAAATTTTGAAAGTTGATTTTGAATACTTTGATTTAAAATAATATCATCATTGAAATTATTATTTAAATAATTACACTGGATAGGTTTAAGTGGATATGATGAGAAAAATGAATTATTTAATGGACCAGAAACTATCCAACCTAACCTTGTTTCACAAAGAGTAGGTTTGTTATCACCTTACTCAATTCTTTGGTTTCCTACTATATCCCAAAAGACATCAGCGCCTAATATAAGGTCGATGGACGCGGGTTTATAAAAATGAGGATCCGCTAAACAAATATTCGTAGGAATATTTAAATTTAATATATTAACTGTACTGTTTGGTACAGTATCAGTTAATGATGGTAAAATAAAACAATTAATGTTACACGTAAATGAGACATCCAATGACTTAAAACGCAGATTACACATTTTATCGATTTGGGTAATTGCATTATTAATACCCCGAACGGATTGACTTATTTTATTATACGACAGATTTAACTGTTGAATCATCCTGTACGATAAAAGGCTAGATGTGCTACCAGAATCTAATACAACACGAACGACGTGTTCGCGATTGTTTGAATGGTATAACTTGACTAAC